AACTATTTTTTAAGTTATTTTTCCTCTATTCTTCCTGAAGAATAGAGGAAAAAATCCTGTATTTGTATTTAGGCACTTTGAGCTCTCTCTTACTGTGGCAACACACAGGTTGGCCTCTGTTCTGGCCTGGAAGCTCTGCTATTGTTGGAGATTCCAGCCCCAGTGCAGTGTAAACTTCTGATGTATAAAGCACATGAACAGGTGATGAGAAAAACCAGGGTGGCTCAGGTAGGCCAAAGCAATGTCCCACGTCTCTGGAACCTCAGAACTTCATCTGCCTTTCCAGCCCTGGGCCAAGTGCTACAGTGCTGCCAGTGGGCCAGCCATTAAAGGCTAGGCAGGCCCTGGAGGAGTTTGCTCCTCAGCATACAGGGGGCAAGGCTGCAAAGTTTAACTCTACCGCACAGGTCCTGCCTCACCAAGCCAGGCCAGGCTACCCTAGAGAAAGTTCTATGTGCCTTACACACTTCTAGGTACTTTTAAGGCAAAATTATGAAGTGGTTTTAGACACTGAAGGTTACAAATCAAATCTAGGGATGTCTCTCTCACCCACTGAAGGAAATCTCCTCAACACTCTTGTGGCTGCTATTCGAAATTAATCATAAATTGGTAACTCTTAAAGCAAGTCAGTTGCACATGGCAGCAAAGGCACTCTTTGTATAGCTCCAGGTTAAATCAATTTAGCATTTTTACTGCAGTGAGAAACGTTACTCACACTTTTAGAGCTGTAGCTGTCACATCCAGAGGCTGTGCCATAGGCCAATAGCATTGGGCAATAATTGAAGCATTTGTTCCTGTGTCTAAAAAGCCCTTTAAATGCTTATTCTTTAATTATCAATTTTATCCTGCTTAATCTGTTAAACCCAATAAGTATCAGAAAATCCAAATCCTTAGGTACCCTTTTTTGTTTATAGATTTCCCAATTTTGGTCAAGGAAAAAATAACCAATTGAGCAATGAAAGAATCTGGAGAGATTTGAACAATGTTTTGAGTAGATTGAACTGTAATCCTGATTTCCCCTTGCAGCTAAAACAAGCAACATTGTTTCTTTACCTCCCTTGTCTGGGCCAACCTCCAGGCTCAGTGGAGCATTTTGGTTCCCTCCCCTGCTTGGAACTTCATTTTAAATATTGCTCCAAGCCAGTTTTCTTGTGGCCATCCCAACAAGCCCACAGTCATCAAGACATTTCTTAATCAAAATCCACAAAAGAAGAGTAAACACTGGAATCAAGCATACAACAAAAAGTTTTATCTATATTTGTGATTCTTTAGAATATATTTGTGCCATGCCTAAGACGGGTTAGATGGGTACACTTTTATCCTCCCTTGGTTTTTTGGTAAGCTGATTTTCCTTTTGAATTTCTTAAGCCTGTTTTAACTCTTTCTTGTCTGTCTTCACTCCTATTCACTCCTCTCCCCTGTTGTGCACAAATGAGAAGTGTCACCTCACCCACTGTTTCTTCTTACCCCAGTCAGTGTCCGAACAGAAGCTGTTATGGATTAAGAACTGGTAGTCAACTTAATGCCAGCTGGATTACATCAGCATGGCAGTGAATGAAGATGCTCCACCTGAGGAAAGTTGCCAGGATAAATAGGTGGACAAGAAGGAGGTATTGAGGGATGAGGCGTTAATGCATTGTTGCGTGGAGGCATTGTGAGTTCTCCTACAGTTGCTGTTTGAGCTGTTGGTTCTCCTGGAGAAGCTTTGGTCCCCCTATCGAGCATTGCTTCCTGGCTCCAGAGGGGAAGACATGTGCCGCTTGGTCTCTAGGATGAACTCTGCTGCTTCCTGGCATGTACCTGACTGTGCTTGTCATTGGAGGAGCTCAGGGCCTCAGTGTTACTGAGGATGGCTGTGGTGCCTTTCAGGACAGCCCTAGTCTTTGTTGTGAGTGTGACTTCTAGGCTCCAGCATAGAACCCTCATCCCACTAGCACAGCTCCTTCATCCTGCTGGCATAGACTTTCTGGCTTCCACAGCTGACCCTTGGGTCTCCCCCACATGGATACGTACAAGAGACTGGCATGAGTCCTTCTTGTGGGCTCTGGACCTCCAGTTGTACTCATGGGAGGCATTGTCCTGAGCTCTGGGTTTTTATCTGGACTCATGTGGCACATTGCTATGGGATTTAGGCTCTTGACTAAATAATCTATGTCTTTGGTGTTGCGGATAGATTTCCTGTGTTAACTCCCAGTGAACATTATAAAAATAATATTATATACTTCCGGGAGAACATGGCGGATAGATAGCAGCAGCTTCAGAGGCTCTCTGAGAAACCACACTTAAAATCCAGGAATGGTGCTGGGGGGAAATCCTAAGCAAGGGGAGATATACTTTGCCGACCCAGAAATGAACTAAACTAAGAGAAACAAACTGGAAATGCAATCCCAGTGATATAACAGGAACAGATAAGGTCTCAGCGTGGAAGCTGGGGCCCTTGCCACTGGAAGCCGCGATTTGAATTTCCTGCTGCCGCTGCTGTGTCCCAATCAGCACAGCAAGAAGAGAGGCGCGAAAGCTCTCAGAGTGGGAAGCAGTGAATGGAGTTGAGAGTGGGACTGGCCAGGAGCCCTGCATCAACCTGCAGTGAGTGAGCAGATCGGGGACCCTTCCATAGATGAGGAGGCGTCAGCAAAGGACGTACTGGGACTGAGAAGACTAGCCGGAATAGGGTGCTGCAGGGACTTCAGTCACATATTCCCCTCTCAAGCGGGATTGGTGGGGACTGCCTGGCTTGGGTGATGCCGCTGACTAAGACCCAGTAACCAAGCCCAAACCAGGTCCCAGCACCTGGAGGTGTAGCCTAGCAGTGAAGCCTTTGGTAGGTTGACCTGGAGGGGCGGGCCCAGCATAGGCTGCCCAGATCTGTGTCTCCCTAGTACACTGCAGTGGGTGGGAACACCTATCCGGCACAATTCAAACAAACTGTAACCAACAAAGAAAGAAACTGGGACTCTTATATACGCTTGTATAAAGGGAACAAAAAATATGGGAAGAGGGAGCAACAAGAAAGGGTCCTCGGCCCCCAATCCTGAGAAACATGCAATGTCAGACACGGCACCAATAGACATAAAGCGCTATCTCCAGAGCCTCATAGCCGAGTTCAGGAATGAAGTTATTAATGACCTGAAGCAAGATATAAGTAGAATAGTTAGAGAAATGCTAAGCACCGCACAAGAAAAAACAGATGGTGGAATGGAAGAACAGGAAAAAAGGAGAGAATTGTTTGATGGAGAAAATAGAGAAAACATAGAATATGTGAGGCAGATTCAAAGAGATTACCAGGAAACTAAAAACTCTATCAAAAACTGGCATAACAGCTTGAAAGAAACTAAGGATAGATTATCTGAACTGGAGAACAGATTTGTAAGGTGGGAGCATGAAATGAAAAACTTCTTAAAAATAACAAGAAAACAAACAGCAATAATACAAAGGCTAGAAGATGATAAGAGAATCTATAACTTAAGAATTAAGAACATAAAAGAAGAAGTAGGGACACAAACAAATGGACTACAAAAGCTATTCACAGAAATAATCCAAAGAGAATTTGCCTAATTTAGCAAATGGTAAAGATACTCAGATGTATGAGGCATACAAGACCCCAGCCACCTACAACCCAAAGAGAGATACACCTAGGCATACAATAATCAAAATTCCAGAAATCCAATATAAAAACAGAATATTTTTTTTAAATTTTATTTAAGGAGAAAAAAAAAGCAGAGAAAGGGTACAAGTTATACAGATTTACAGAAAAAAATAAACAGTAGGAAATCACTAGTTAATGGATTACATATTGTCATCTTAGAAATAATTGTTCAAGTCACAAAATTAAAGCTTGTAAAGTGGACATTCCAACAGTGAGACTGCAAACAGTTCTGTTCAATGATCCAACAAAACTCTGTGATATCATTATCTATCTTATACACTTATATATACATGCAGTTATATCATTTAGAGCACTTTCTTTTCCTCTATTTTGCACAATGACAATTACCCATTTTGGGTTTTGTTGCTCCCACAGTTCTTATTACTATTTTGGAAGGGAGTAGAACCAAATGTGACATAACAGAACAGAGTCAATCAAATCAAAAGGGTGGACATAATAGATAATGTAAAAGCATAATACAAGGTGATCAACAATGGTTACCATAATGACTCCCGCTATCTCTAATAAAATTGCCTATATCATCAGTTATAATAAAATTGAACAAAACAGTAAAGAACAAAACCAACAAAACCAAAACATTGGAGACATTATAGGTCTTCAAAAGTAGATAATAGTCAACAAGAATGGGCGTTATAATGAATCTCACTATCTTCACAGCTTTTGCTTAAACTTTCGAACCTGGTACTATCAAGCAAAACAGAATAGGGGGACATCAGTCAAAAACAAGATGGTGAGAGTAATACAGGGCTTTAAATCAAGATAATGGAAAGTCAAAGTGGGTTACTATAATATATCCTGCTATTTTTTTTATTTTTCCCTTAATTAAAAGGATAAAAATAAAAAAGTAAATAATGAAGTAGAGATTGAGATAAAAGAGGGCATAACAGCAAAACAGCGCCGATCAAAACATAACCATTTAAGCAGAATAGTGTTTCACCACAAGATAATCCTGACATAAAAGTAGTTACCATATTGTCTCTTTCCTTGAAATCTTTGAGTATAACTTCGTATACTGTAGCATCAAATATATCAAAACAATATAAAACCATTTAAGAGAAAGACAGCATTACAGGGTATTTAGAATCAACCAACAGAAAACGAACAATGGTTTCTGTATAATCTCCTTGTCTTTAAAAGTCTTTGCTTATACTGTCATACATAATAAAATCCAATAAGATACAACCTGTTTAGACCAATGGAGACAGAAGAACAAAAGCTTGATGAGACTTCAAAACAAGATGATACTAAATCAGTATTATTTATTAAGACATCATTTTCTCCAAAATAGCTGTTCCTATCATCCAATCTTCTCTGCCTCATTTCTGTTGAGCTCTTTTTCTGTCATTGGTTGTCAGTTTGTCTTCTTCATTTTGTTTCCTGCTCCATTCATTGTGGCCTCTCTGCCACTATTTCTGGATTCTTTGTATTTTTCTTTTTTAGAATATCCTGTAGTATTCTCTGTAGAGTTGAATTGGTGGTTGCATATTCCCCTAGTTCCTCTTTATCCTGGAAGCACCTTGTTTTTCCATCAATTTCCAGGGATAGTTGTGCAGGATATATCAGTCTTGGCTGGAGATTATTATCTTTCAAAGCTTGCATTATTTCCCCCCACACTCTTCGTGATTTGATGGTTTGTGCAGAGAAATCTGCTGTAATTCTGATGGGTGTTCCCTTGTAAGTGGTCTGTTTCTTATCTCTGACAGCTTTTAATATTCTGTTCTTGTATTGAATTTCTGGGAATTTAATTATTATATGCCTGGGTGTTGCTCTGTTTGGGTTGTAGGTGGCTGGGGTCCTGTATGCTTCATACAACTGAGTATCTTTACCTTTTGCTAAATTAGGAAAATTCTCCTGGGTTATTTCTGTGAGTAGCTTTTGTAGTTCATTTGTTTGTGTCCCTACTTCTTCTTTTATGTTCTTAATTCTTAAGTTATGGATCCTCTTATCATCTTCTAGTCTTTGTATTATTGCTGTTTGTTTCTTTGTTACTTTTAAGAAGTTTTTCATTTCATTCTCCCATATTACAAATCTGCTCTCCAGTTCAGATAGTCTGTCCTTAGTTTCTTTCAAGCTGTTATGCCAGTTTTCGATAGTTTTTAGTTTCCTGGTAGTCTCTTTGAACCTGCTTCACATATTCTATGCTTTCTCTATTTTCTCCATCAAACAATTCTCCCCTCTTTTTCTGATCTTCCATTCCACCATCTGTTTTTTCTTGGGTGGTGCTTAGCATTTCTCTAACTATTCTGCTTATTTCTAGCTTCAGGTCATTAATAACTTCATTCCTGAACTGATCTATGAGACTCTCTAGATGGCACTTTATGTCTATTGGTGCGGTGTCCACTATTGCCTGTTTCTCAGGATTGGGGGCCGAAGGGCCTTTCTTGTTGCTCCCTCTTCCCATATTCTTTGTTCCTTATATATGCAAGTGTATGTAGGAGGCCTGGCTTCCTTCCTTGTCGGCCACAGTCTGATTGGATTGCGCCAGCTAGGTGTTCCCACCCACCGCAGCACACCAGGAAGTTGCAGACCAGGCAGCCTATGCGGGGCCTGCCCCTCCAGGGTCACCCTCAGGCTCTGGGATCTGGGTTGTGCTAGCCTATTGGGTCTCCGCCAGCAGCGTCACGCAGGCTAGGCACTTCTCACCAATCCCGCTTGAGAGGGGGATACGTGGCTGAAGTCACCGCAGTGCCCTGTTCCCGCAAGTCTGCCCAGTCCCAGAATGTCCTCTGTTGGAGTCTCCTGGACCGTGGGAGAGACCCAGTTTTCCCTCACTCAATGTAGGTGGATGCATGGCTCCCCGCCCATCCTGTTTTCAACTCCGTTCGCCTATTCCCGTTCTCAGAGCTTCCGCGAGTCTCTCTCCCTGCTGAGCCGATGTAGACGCAGCCGCCGCGAGGCGGGAAAGCCAAATCGCGGCTTCCAATTCCGCGGGCTCCAGTTTCCACACTGAGGCTTTTCTGTTCCTGTTATAGTACCAGGATTGCACTCCAAGTTGGTTTCTCTCAGCCCAGTTCATTCTTGGGTCAGCAGGGCATATCTCCACCTGCTCATGACTCCTTACTCCACACCATTCCTGAATTCCAAGCTGATTCTTTCAGAGAGCCTCCATAGCTGCTGCTATCTGTCTGCCATGTTCTCCCAATCCCTAAAAACAGAATATTAAAAGCCATCAGAGACAAGAAACAGACCACTTACAAGGGAACACCCATCAGAATTACAGCAGACTTCTCAGCACAAACCATCAAATCACAAAGAGCATGGGGGGAAACAATTCAAGCTTTGAAAGATAATAACCTCCAGCCAAGATTGATATATCCTGCACAAGTGTCCCTAGAAATTGATGGAAAAACAAGGTGCTTCCAGGATAAAGAGGAACTAGGGGAATTTGCAACCACCAATTCAACTCTACAGAGAATACTGCAGGATATTCTAAAAAAGGAAAATACCAAGATTCCAAAAATAGTGGCAGAGAGGCCACAATGAATGGAGCAGAAAGCAAAATAAAGAAGACAAACTGACAATTAATGACAGAAAAGGACCTCAACAGAAATGAGGCAGAGAAGATTGGATGGTAGAAACAGCTATTTTGGAGAAAAGACATCATAATAGCTAGTGCTGATTTAGTATCATCTTGTTTTGAAGTCCCATCAAACTTGTATTCTTCTGCCTCCATCGGTCTTAAAAGGTTGTATCTTATTGGATTTTATTATATATGATAATATAGGCAAAAACTTTTATAGACAAAGAGATTATACAGGAACCATTGTTCATTTTCTGTTAATTGGTTCTAAATACCCTGTAATAATGTCATTCTCCTGAATGGTTTTACATTTTCTTGATATGTTTGGTGCTACAGTATACGAAGTTATACTCAAAGATTTCAAGGAAAGAGACACTATGGTAACTATTTTTATGTCAGGATATCTGGTGGTGAAACACTATTTTGCTTAAATGGTTATGTTTTGACCAGCGCTGTTCTGTTGTTATGCCCTCTCTTATCTCAATCCCCCCCCTTTTTTTTAATTATTTACTTTTTTATTTTTATCTTTTTAATTAAGAGAAAAATAAATAAAAAATAGCAGGATACATTATAGTAACCTACTTTGATTCCCTATTAACTTGATTTGAAATCCTGTATTGCCCTCACCATCTTGTTTTGATTGATTTTCCCCTATTCTGCTTTGCCTGATAGTACCAAGTTTGAAAGTATAGGCAACAACTGTGAAGACAATAAGATTCATTATGACGCCCATTGTGGTTGACTATTATCTTCTTTTAAAGTCCTGTAATGTCTCCAGTGCTTTGGTTTTATTCTTTACTGTTTTGTTCAATTTTATTATAACTGGAAATTCTTCTTAAAATAGCAAGAGGCAGTATGGTAACCATTGTTGATCATCTTGTATTTTGTTTTTGCATTATCTATTATGTCCATCCTTTTGATTTGACTGACTCTGTTCTGATATGTCACATTTGGTTTTACTCTCTTCAAAAAAAGTAATAAGAACTGTGGGAGTAATAAAACCCAAAATGTGTAATTGTCATTGTACAAAAGAAAAGAAAAGAAAGTGCTCTAAAGGTTATAACTGCATATATGTTTAGGTGTAGAAGATAGATAACCATATTACTGAGTTTTTTTGGATCATTGAACAAAACTGTTTGCACTCTCACTGTTTGAAAGTCCACTTTATATGCTTTAATTTTGTAACTTAAACAACTATTTCTAAGATGAGAATATGTAATCTATTAACTAGTGATTTCTTAGTGCTTATTTTTTTAAATTTTGTATTACTTGTATCCTTTTTCCATTTTTTTCTTTTTCTCCTTAAATAAAAATAATAATAATAATAATATTATAAACTCCATGTCTTGATCCTAATTGTTGTACAACCCCTGACTACCACAGAAGCCATTGATTGTGAGCTCTATAATGGACTCAAAATTGAATGAACTAGGTTCCAGATTAAGAACATCTTAGGGAGAAATGACTTTTCCTGCACTATGTGTATTTTTTTTCCAATTCATTCCTGATTATCAATATATATAGTGTCTGTCTGAGGAAACCATGGGTTATATTTGGTTATCTCTTTTAACATTTTTGCTAGGTCTTTCTTTGGCACATAAACCCCTGGACATTCAAGCAGGTCATGAAGCAGGCATAAATACCTTTGCTTCTCAGCTGAAAGTTTTTGCTTGTTTTTGTTCCTAGGAATCAAACTCAGGACCTTGTGTTTGCCAGGCAGGTGCTTGTGCTACTGAGATTGTATTCCTGGTCCTATTTTTACTCCTGGATAAAACAACTTGTTCACAGTGGGAAGACTTACCCTTGTTTTTCCCTTTCTTCTCCTGGTGATCCTGGTTGTTTGGGGTTTTTTTCCCCTGTGAAGACTTCAAGTTCCAAATTTTCCATATCCACACTTTCCACTCCAGGTGGACTTACTCATTCAAGCTAAAATTCCTAGTCCAAGGATTTCAGGTCCCTGTTCAGGCACCAGTTATCAGGGACCTGGTCTAAATTCAAATCTCCCAAGCCAGTGTACAGCAAAGGCTTAAAATGAGGTGGTATGATTTTAGGGTTCCAAGAGGATCGAAACCCTCTACAGAATTCAAGGACTCTAGTGGCTAAGACAGAGAATGCCTCTGGGCAGCCTGTATTTATTATGTTCTTCAAACAACACAAGAAGCTAAACAGACCTTGGGAGTGGTTCAAGGACTTTGCAAGTAACAAATTACGTCACAAGGAGAAGTTTCTTAGAAGATCTCCATGTTACATTTCACCACCAGGATGAAATTCCTGTGGCTACCGTCTTTAGTTTTTTGGAGTTGGAGCCAAGTGTCCTCAGCTGTTATCTTTCCCTGGCCATGCAGCAGCCCTGCACATGTGTTCAATTTTCAGTTTCAAAGGTTCCCAATGTACACTAGCAAAAAGAGCTTCATTATGTTTGTTATGCCTAAGTTATATGACCAAAGTACCTGTAACGTTGTCATACTGTTCTGTATGTGCCATTTTTCTGGGTGACCTAATTGATATGTTAATCAATGCTCCCCTCTGCAAAGAACTGTAAATTCCTGGGAATCTGACCTAACTGACATGTTAACCATTGCTGCCCTCTGCAAACAACAGATGTTATCTAAAATTGAGTGCTAAAATAAGTTGACAAAGGATTGTTAATTCCTGGGAGACTTCTCTGTCCCCTGCAAAGGGAAACAAAGGACTTCATCATTCCTTAACAGATCAAGGATCTTTCATTCCCTGATCTATGCCCATAACCCTTTACTTTATAAACCATCCTTTCTACAAAAAGTTTGAAAAGTTTTGAGGGAGACACACAGCTTTTGCAAACTCCAACTGCACTGTGTTGCTGGGCACAGGATAAAATAAATCAGCGCTGCTTTAAAAAAAAAAACACACACACATCTTGCCCCATTTTTGGACTTGAGGTTGGGTGGGGTGGGGACTCATTTTTGGGCTATAAGACCAACAGCAGAGGACTCCTATTTTATTTGTATAGTTTATTAAGACTCAGCTTTTGGCTTTAGGCTAGGAGGAGGCTAAGGTGCAGTTTTCTTCAGTCATCCCAAATCTGAGTTTATTCCACATCAGCTGCCTCCACCATGCCACCCAAGCTCAACCCCAGTGAGATTAAAGTCATGCACTTGAGGTGCACCAGTGGTGAAATCAGTGCCACATCTTCCCTGGCCTCCACAATATGCCTCTTGGGTCTGTCTCCAAAAAAAAGTAGGTGACAACATCACCAAGGCAACTAGTGACTGGGAAGGTCTGAAGATTACAGTGAAGCTGACAATTCAGAAAAGACAAGCTTAGATTGGGGGGTGCCATCTGCCTCTGCCCTGATCATCAAAGCCCTTAAGGGGCTGCCAAGAAAAATTTAAAAAGCAGACAAACATTAAACATGGTGGAAATATCACTTTTGATGAAATTCTCAACATTGCTTGACAGACATAGCACAGTCTTTAGCCAGATAACTCTTTGGAATCATTAAAGAAATCCAGGGGACTGCCCAGTCTGTGGGCTGCAATGTGGACAACTGGCATCATAGATGACATCAACAGTGGCACTGCAGAGTGCCCAGCTAGCTAAGAAGCATAGCAAAATATTTCAATAAAAGGATGATCTAAAAAGAAGTAAAAAAACTCAGAAAATCTTTGGGTTAAATGCTAAAGGTTTAGATGTAGTTAAAACTGTAAAGTGAAGCCCAATCTGTTTGTTTGTTTGTTTGTTTGTTTGTTTTGGAACTGGGCATCAAACTCATACCTCATGCCTGCCAGGCAAGTGCTTGTGCCTCTGAGCTAAATCCCTGGCCCGTGAAGCCCAGTCTATGTTCGGCATTCAGCTGTTATACCCCTTTCCTTTACCCAAAATGATGCCTCAGTCTTCCTCACACTTTGTCTTTAAAGTTCTTTTCTTAAGAAATTTCTCATATCATCTTCTACAACTAAGAGTTTCCCAAGCATACTGCTTTGCTGAGGTTCCATCCACCTCCCTGTCAATACTTCCCATCTGCTGTATCTTAGAACACTGGGAACCATTCATGTGTATGCCATGAAAAACAGTGCATACCTACCTCTAAACAGTGAAGACTGAGAATGAGAAGTGATTTGAGATGAAGATCTTCAACACAGTGGTAGTCAGTTTCTATCTACAGAGTAGGAGAAGAAATGGTGGTAAGAATTATATGACCACTTTACAAACTCAAGTGACAGGTGAGACATCTACGGCATGTCCTTATGGCATGTCCTTCATTAGAGTATCTTTATGGCATTGGGACCTGTGTAATAATATAGAAGCCATGCTTATATTTATTTTAATGTTTCTATGATGTTGTCTTGAAATTCTCAATAATTTTTCAACAGAAGGTCCTACATTTTTATTTTTTAACTAGTTGGCAAATTATACAGGCAGCTCTATCCTATCGCCAGAGTAACTTTGAGCATCTCGTCACCTTGAGAGTTCAGACCCAGTCTTTAGGAAAGTGAAGTATTTCAGGACTCCACATAGATTTCTAGAATTCATAATAATCTGATTATAATTTATATCTATAACAGTATCAACTTTCACTTATGTAGTGCCCAGTAAGTGCCAGTCACTTAATGAAGTACCATACTAAACCAAAGCATGCACTTTCCCAGATTCATTCAGCCCTACTTGCTCCCTGGACCTTGGCTTACTCACTAAAAAATCCAGCCTCTATTGATAAAGTCAGATGTCAACCTCCCCTAAAGTAAGACTGAGCTCTGACATAAGTGTGGCAGCTCCAAAACCAAGGTCCAGGCAAGCCAGACTCATTTAGACACTGGCTTCTCTTACCACTTCTGGGCTTAAAAGGTTCACCACAGAACATAGGATCTGTCCATCCCAGTGCCAGCCTGGAGGAACCTGGTAACACAACTCATAGCACAATGGAATTAGTACTTCGTGACCTGAAGATTAACAAATGTCAAGCAGAATACCAGAGGAAAATAATATTATTATTATTGTTGTTATTATTATGAGGAAATACCTCAGAGAGATTGCGCTTGCCCACATTCATACAACTAGCAAGTAAAGAGTTAGAATGCAAACCCAGGTCTTTCTGACTCTAAAGTCTACCTTCCTAACCACAGTGGTGTATATTTGCATGTGCACTGGAAATAGGTTGTTAGTTTAGTAAGGTGATCACAGTGAGGCTGTGATCCCCAAGGAGTTAAATTGAATTAGACAATATTTCCTAAGTACTTACAATGTACAAGAAATCATTCAAAAGTTTCTGTATTACTGAATCTTCATATTAATATTATGAAGGAACTCTTATTATACCTGGTCTACAGATGAGGCACAAAGAACATCTGTAACTTGCCAGAGGTCTTGTAGTCACTGTGTGGCTCAGCAAAAATGGACACTTGTCTGTCCACAGAGCCCATGCTCTATGATGCCATCATGTGCTCTGCCTGATAAGTGAAGGGTGCAATTATAACATGTAGTAAACAGCCACCCAACAAAAGCACCCTTGTTTGTATTGGACATTCTTGGGAGGAGCACAGAGAGTACTTCCATGCTGGTCATATGGGCCAGTCCTCAGGTGGATTGATTCATGTACCTAGTAACAAATATTCATCATACATTTGGCATCAATAAATGGAAACTGAGGAAGAGTTTCAAGTAATTTCAGAAAGAAAACTATGATTTTTTTTTAAAGGATGAGGCATTACAGGTGGAGAAATGGTACATCTAAAGTTGACTTGTGTAAATCATTTGGAGAAGTAAATTGTACTACATAACAACTCTGCAACTATAGGATACACAAATAAGAGTAACAGGATTTAATTTTAACTTGATCTTTAAAATTATTGCAGGGAACATTTCTAAAAAAGAAGTTATGGGAACAAAAAACTCTTCAGTAGGAGAGCAGCTGTACAGAGTCACAGACTGTAGCTGTGGGATAAAACATGAGACTGATTCACAGAAAGCTGAGGAGCACAACAACTGAGGTACATGCTGGATTCTAGAGTAAGGAGCCTACCTGTGAGTCATGACCCCATGATCTCAACTCTGTGGACCTGCCTAGGATAATCATCTCTCCAAGTCTTGTATTCTTCTTTTACATGATGATTTAATTATCTATCACATAGATACAACTGTCATGAAGATTAATTAAATTGTTTGCATGATACACTTAGCAATGCCTGCCAGAGTAAGTACTCCATAAATGTTGGCTATTGTTCTTTAGCCACAAATGAAATATATGAGATATGGGGAGATCATGTGATTTATCCAGGTGATTGCTTAAAATTAATGTCTTTCAGCATTAAAATATAGGCTCTGAATTAAAGGAGGTGCAAAATGAGTATGGTATAGGAAAGAATAAACACTTTTGTTATAACAACCAGCTTAAAATACCAGAACTTCTCCTTATAGCTATTTGCTCTGGTCCAGATTATTTTCAATCTTTAACTTATAAAATACATTAAGTAGATCATTATATCTCTCATGTACATATAGCCGAGTACACAGCAGATCTTCAATCAATGTTTTTTGTTTTGCTTTGCTTTGTTTTCTTTTTAGAAAAAATAAAATAAAATTGAGTTCACGTCATGACAACCTTCCCTAATTTCCTCCTCTGCCAAAAAGGGAGTGGGAAGGAAACACTGTAAAATATAGAGTATGTATTTAGAACTTGTTTTGAAACTATTATGTAGGATTGTGTAATCCCTTGAAATAATAGAAAGGACTCTCAGATGTCACAAAAGCACAGCTGGGATACACCACCCTTATATAAGGAAACTCTTCTCAGCAAATCACAAGGGAAGCCTGCCTGAGGTGCAGGACAGAACTTCCCTGTAAGCAGTCACGGCTTCATACTGCCCCCTCCAAGAGCCTCTTGGCATGAGAATCACAGCAAATGGCAATGCCTTAGTTACAAGGAAGCTGATAGCAATAAGATTTCAGACTAATATACTCGAGTATTAACCTTAAAGTGTTACTGAACGGTGACCTATTAGTTTTCATTTATCCACAGCAATTGAGAAATGCACTGACAAAAGACAATCAGATATAATTCAAAGAAATTCATTTTGTTGTTTACTGCCTTTTCCCCTTCAATCATTTTTAAGTGCTGCTAACAAGAGGAAAAACTGGACTAATTTTGACTTCGACCCCATCTCTTTCCCCTTTCTTTCTTCTTCTGAAAATGTTCACAAGCAACAAAACAGGCCCACAAAAAGAACGAGGCGAGAAGCAGAGCATGAGCAGCCGGACTAGAAACCTAGACCCGGGAGAGTGTAACACTGGAAGGTTTACCTACACATCATCATTGGCTGGTTCACTAACCAAGGAAAGAGAAAAGTACTGTTTGAGGGATGTTTTTGATCATTTCTTTGCTCCTCTCATGCAATATTTATCTCTCACATAGCTATTTTTCCTGACCAGGAAAAATCTCTGTTAACCTGAAGTTTGATCTGTCCTAGCCTTGTTCTCACAAGGATTTTAAGTTTACTATGTAAAAAATTTCCAAATATCCACTGAAAGAGGAAGACAGTCTATTAAAGGCAATTCATAATACTACAGCAAAGTCACATCAGCATCCTGAGCATTCTTGGGCTCTAGGTCATTTAAGTCTCTAAGGCTGATGAGGGAGATGCAGAGAAAAATATGGGTCATCTGACAAAAGAAAAATGCAAAACTAGTGATCCATGTAATGTGCCTGCTTTACAACAGAATGAACCTCAAGGCCCTTTAAGTTGGAACCATCTGGTGAACATTGCTTCTAGGTGGCTTTTGGAATTCTGAAGAGGCGTGTATGTGAGTGCATGCATGCATGCATGTATTTTTGAACTATTTGTATCTTATTTGTGATGGATTATTCTGAAAGTGCAGGTTTTTATGTTTGAACAGTAAGTACTGCCAGGCTGGAAAACCAAAGGTTTTTTTTAGGACATTTTTGTAAAAGAAATGCATGTGAAGTAGATTATTTTGGGAATTCAGCAATCTTAATGACTAAGTTGTGACCATGAAAACACTATATAAGAAGTTTTCAAAGTTAATATTTCCTATTTTAAATACTTTTTTGTTATCTTCAGGCTAAGTAAATCACCAAATTAAGAAGTCAAGTAATGTTTACAGCACTCACAAACATATTTAAATATTAACATTGCTTTGTTTTTTAAACATAATACCATTTGGGAAAGAAAAAAAGAAAGAAGATATGTGAATGAAAGCCATAGGGAAAATGGGTGGCACACGGTCATTTAAGTAGAACTGAAACACTGAATCTAAAACAAATGCTCACAAAACACTTCCTTATACATTATTTCACACCAACCGGTTATAGTAGAGAATATCTTGTTCTCAAAGATAAGAAGGAAGCTTAGACAAGAGAGAGGTCTGACCAAGATCATGCAGCTAATACACAAACAGTAGAACTGGTACATAACCTCTAGGATCATCATCTTCATTGTCATCGTCTTTGTCCTCATGTCAGAGCATCAGTTTTTCTCTGACTATATGACTAACAGCTATACCACTCCCTTGGCCAGGATTTTCAGACATCACAGCTAAAAATCAAGTACTGCTTAATCCAGTGGAAATATTACCAGGAAGAAAGAAGATACTTTCTAGATAGGGAAAATATATCATTATTTCTTTTTTGACTGTATTGTGTATATGAACCCAAGCTCTCATGAATAGTTAATAAGGCATTAACAACTCAAAATCATTCACAATATGTATGTAGATTGTTTGAAAAACAAAATAAACACAACAATAGTGATACAGCACCTTGATGTGCCAGGCCTCTCCTTTGTGCTTTACACTCTATGAGATAAGAACCAAGACTGTCTTTGTTTTACAAATGAAGAAATTGAGATGTCAAAGTTCAATAACTTGTACAGTCACAAGGCTAGTAAACAATAGCACCCTGCAGTAGCCTATCCCTAAGTCCTCTCTGGAGCAATATACTATATAATTTTATGTGTCTGTAATTTTAAAAATTATAATTCTAGGCAATTTTATTATCAGCTCAATTGCTCTTCATCCATTTTATTGGTAAAAAAGTTCATTCAGTTCTAACCTGTGTCCTTGAAACTTCTTTAATTGATAAATTCTTGCAAATTACTTAAAAGTAGAATTTCCATTTAAAAATATTTGTTGCATTTTAATAATCAT